GCAAAATCGCTGCAAATTGTGGAACACGAACTCAATTTAATAACAGCTCATTGGCTTTTTTTGAGGAAACAAAATAAATTTAGTTTGGCTGCATGGCAGCGTTCGTGGGAATGAACTGTCAGTAACTGTGCTTGAGGTCAGTCACTCCATTTGAGCTTTAAAAAAATGTTTTAAACTTCTCTCAGGTTTTTTTTTCCCTGGGCCTGGGCTGCCTAAAACACGATCCCAGTTCCAGTGCTGCTAARGGGGTGATGTTTGCCCAAAATCCTGGGGACCGCCACAGCTCTGGAGACCAATCTCTGCAACCTCCTTTTATCCCCATCACATTTCGAGAGCCAGGAGCTTTAATTAATTACAGCAGCCAATTATTCTGGCGGTGAAGTTGGTGCGAGAGCAAGTCCCCGCTCYAATGAGCCGGCACGGAGGGAATACAAACAGGGCTCTTCCAAGATSCAAGCAGGATTTTTCTCACGCCTGGCACAGCCGGAGCGCTCAGCTGCCAGACAGCGCCTCACACCTTCCCAGCTGGTGTTTGGGAGCAACACTCGTGCCTGCTAGTGGGGTTAGGGGAAAAAAAAAACAAAAAAAAACAAAAAACAAAAAAACCACCCCAGGAACACACGGTTTGTGCTGATTCAGTCCCGAGACGCGTCTGTGCCGAGCAGCTGCTCCCGGACGGGAATGGGGCGCAGGGAGGGAGGGATGGGGCCGGAGCGCTCTTGTTTCTGTAACCCGGGGCAACGCGGGCCGTTGCTGGGCAAATCSCAGAGTGGGGTTTGTTGGAGGGGTTTAAAGATCATCCAGTGCCACCCCTGCATGGACAGGGACTCATTTTCCTTATCGCAGGGTGCTGGGACACTTGGCAGTGCCAGGGATCCAGGGGCAGCCACAGCTTCTCTGGGCACCCTGTGCCAGGGCCTCACACCCTCCCAGGGAACAATTCCTGCTCAAAATCCCACCCATCCCTGCCCTCTGGCAGTGTGACCCCATTCCCTGTGTCCTGTCCCTCCATCCCTTGTCCCCAGCCCTTCTCCAGCTCCCTTCTCACCATTTTCCTGCGCTTTTCCCCGGCTCCTCCCGGCCCGGCCCCTCACGGTGAACGGCCCCGCTCCCCCCGGGCCCCGGCACTTGCCATGGCCGCCGCTCCGACGGGACGGGAACTCACGGGGAAAGGATCCCCCAGGGACGGGATCCCACGGAGAAGGGGATCCAACAGGGACGGGATTCCACGGAGAAGGGGATCCCAGGGGGAAGGGGATCCCACAGGGACGGGATCCCACAGGAACGGGATACCACGGAGAAGGGGATCCGACAGGGAAGGGGATCCCACGGAGAAGGGGATCTCACGGAGAGGGGGTTCCCACGGAGACGGGATCCGACAGGGAAGGGATCCCACGGGGAAGGGATCCCGCGGAGAAGGAGATCCCACAGGGGCGGAATCCCACAGGAACGGGATCCTACGGAGAAGGGGATCCCGCCGGGATGGGCCGGGAGCGGGCCCGCCCGAGCGGCCCCGGCCCGGCCGGGAAGCGAAAGCGAAAGCGCGGGGGAAGCGGCGGGGCCGCCCCCGGGGCCGCCTCCAGCCCGGGGGGGACCGAGCCGCCTCCAGCCCGGGGGGACACGGCGGGGACCGAGCCGCCTCCAGCCCGGGGGACACGGCGGGGACCGGGCCGCCCTTCCCGGACGGAATTGCGGGGTCCGGGAATGCCGGCGGTGCCTGCGGGACCGGGAACGGGGTGGGCAGCGACACGCGTGGAGAGGGACATGCAGGGAGGGGACACGTATGGAGAGGGGTATCCATGGACAGGGACACGCGTGGAGAGGGACACACTGGGACACACATGGAGAGGGAACACTTCCTGGGATCCAGGGGCAGCCACCCTCACAGGGAGCAGCAATTCCTTCCCAATTTCCCACACGGACAGGGACACACAGGGACAGGGACAGACACGGTCAGGGACACGCGTAACAAAGCACACCCATGGCAGATCGCACACAGCACCCACATGGCACCCCAAAGGAGAGCGACACCCATGACAAAGCACACCCATGGCACCCTAAAGGACAGGGACACCCATGACAAAGCACACCCATGGCAGAACACACACAGCACTCCCATGGCACCCCAAAGGACAAGGACACCCATGACAAAGCACACCCATGGCACCCCTAAGGACAAGGACACCCATGACAAAGCACACCCACATCACCCGAAAGGACAGGGACAAAGCACATGCATGGCACCCCAAAGCCGGCCCTGCACAGCTCCCGTGGCCCCAAACAGCTCATGTTTTTGCAGGTTTTCGGGGGAAAGCTGCAGCTGGGAAATGTCCCTGGGTATAATGTGGGTGTCAAAACCTCCCCAAATGCCAGCCCCGGAGAGTCACCCCCAGTGGGGTGGAAAAAGGACTCTGACAGTTACAGAAACATCACCAATACTGTATTTTTATTTTTCATCATTAAAAACAGTCTCCAGCCTTTAAAGCACYGCTGCTGCTTTAAAATTTAAGTGTAATTTTAACAAACCATAATTCATCAGAGGGAAAAGCAAGACATTTATAGACATTGTCTTAAAATGTTAAAAGCTCAGATGGATTTTCTGTGCTTTAAAACCTGAAGCTTCTCACTACTCCCTTATACTGTGACACCTTGGGAGAATTTTAAGCTTTTTCCTCTTTTTTAGCATTTACTTCTGAATATTTATCAGTGAGGTACAGGTGACATTCATGACATTTTTTCCTTTCTCAGGTTTCTCGCCCTTTTTTTAAGGTGTCTGGTGTGACCAAGCTTTTGAGTGTGCAAAAGTGCACAATCTCCACGATTTTTTTGTTTGAATTCATTATTATTTCCCAATGGTCAGGTAATCAACCCATGCCTTTGCAWGCCCTAAACAGTAAGAGGTGCTACAGTCACATATTTCTCACTCGACAGCAAATTCAAAATAAATCGTGGTATTTGCAGCATTTGAATTTTCCATATTCAGCTTTTATCCATTGCCAATTACCAGTTTTTCTGGACTAATAATCCATGAGGTGTTTTTGCAGTGCTTTTCTCAGTGCACTGTCCTTTCCCTGCGTATCAAGATATCAAATACCCTGAAAATAAATTATTGCCAGGCTCATGTTAGTTTGAATTAAGACTTTTGGGGCCAAACCATTTCAGCCCCCAAGGGTGGCAAAAGATTTGAAAGTGCAAAGCCAGAGGAGGATTTCTTTTTCAAGGATGACAGCAGAAAAGAAAAAAATATTTCTGCTTGGAAAAKAACTCTCTCCAGGCCTTCTCAGCACCAGCCTGGCGTCACCAGATCCCTCAGGCTGTTCCTCCAGCTTTGTCACAAAATCAGATAAAGCATCAGCTCAATCCTTGACTGTAATACTTTAAAATAACCAAAAGCACGAATAAAATGAGGAAAAATGTAATTGTCAAATATCAAAAACAAACTATGAATCTGGCAGAACTTCAATAGCTAAAGGCAGCAAATGCCAGGGTGTTTGTTGAGTGCAATTTCTYGAGTAAAACTCTGATGGTTTTGCATCTCCCATTTTCTTTTTCAGTTCAATCACTAATAATAATCACTTGATAACGTGACATTTTATGAAATTACAGAGTTCTTTCAGGTATTTGAGTTTGGTGGCACTGAGAACCTCAACAGGATTGGAGCTGTGTCAGAGTCTCTTCTGAAAATGTGACACTTCAACAAGGCAGGTCTGTGAGGAGGCTTGGATTGGGATTAAAAATTGCTTTTTATTCAAAATGTATGAAATAATGCATTTATCCCACTTTGGAGTATTTTAAAATCTGCAAGGCATAAAATAAGCAAACTTGCAGAGAATCAGAGTTTATGTTTTGAGTGCTGATAAAGGCTTTGTCTGTGCCTTTCATCTGGAACACAGGCAGGGAGTTTGGCTGATTTTCTATGCAAAGTCAGTGCCATGGGACAAATCAGAAAGGCAGGGAATTCCTCTTTTACAATATCAATTTCAGAACATTAAAGCACAGTATCTACAAACAAATCCTCAGAACTTTGTGAGTTCCCTGTGATTTCCTAGGTGGCATTCCCAGTATCCTCCTCAAAACAAACACAGGCTGCTCCTTTGGAGATGTATTTGATTTTCTCAATTTCCCCACCACCATTACTCGGCTTTTGGAAGTGAATTTCAATCATGTCCTGCACACTCTCCTCATCCTCTTGCACCTCTGGGATTCCTTTCAGCAGAATGGTCCTCTTGGAAACCCCACAGTATGGCTGTGGAGGAAAAAATAGTGGATTATGCAGGAGCTGTGAGTTCAGAGGAATGGAGAGATGGGAATGAAATGGCTGGGATCTTTGATAAGGCAAATATTTGGGATAGTGGGGGATATTTCTGTCACTGGAAATTGCAGCAATTTGGAATTCTGGCACACATTATTATGAAGGGTATGGAGGGGCTTTACAAGGAGCAGGTGAGGGCACTTGGTTTGTTGCAGGAGAGTGAGGGGAGACTCATCCTGGTCTGAAGCTTTCTCCCAAGGGGCAGCTCTGATCTCTGCTCTCTGGGAACAGAGATTGGCTGGAGCTGGGCCAGGGGAGGTTTGGGATGGAAATCAGGGAAAGGTTCTGTTCCCAGAGGGTCTGGGCAGGGAATGGTCCTGGCCCCGAGGCTGCCAGAGCTCCAGGAGCTGCCAGGGATGCAGAGTGGGATTGTTGGGGGTCTGTGCAGGGCCAGGGTTGGATTTGTGATCCTGTAGGTCCCTTCCAGCTCAGGATATTCCATGATTCTGTGATTCTGGGTTTAATGAACCTGGATTCCTGAACTGGTGTGCCCTACACTCCTTAAAGCACCCACACACTGGATTTGGGGAGCTCTGATGGCTCCAGACAGCCCCACTCCATAAAAATCTGTGCCCAGACAGGCCCCACACCTGCAGGGACTCCTGTTGTGTGTCCTACACCCACTCAAGCCCCTGCCTTAATTACAAAGCCTGATTATGTCCACAATYCTGCCTTGTTCACCATCTCCTCCTGAAGCAGCAGAGTTGGAGGGAGGGGATGATGAGTGAGCTCTGTGACAGTCACTGTTTGGGCTCAATGAATGAAATCAATGAATGAATGAGCAAATGTTTCATTTGCTGGGGCTCTGCTGGGGCTCTCAATGATAGATCCTGGTGAAGGATCAGCCTGACAGTGCTTTGAGACCTGGAAAACTTTGTGATGAACCCCCTTCCCAAACAACTCCCTGCTGCCCAGCACAGGCCTGTGTGGAGAGCTGAGATAATGTGATCAAGAAAAGGCATGCACACCCTTTAAAAATAAATTACAGCTTCCACACTGCAAGGCAGGAGCTCATCAGCCTCATCACACCCACAATTGCTATTAAATTCCACAAAGTCCATGACACAGAGGCCTCTGCAGGGCTCAGGAGTGAAAATTCTGCCCACATCTCCCATTTCCCACTTAATCTGTTCTATCAGCCTGGAGTAGATTCTTTTACCTGAAACTTTCTCAAGTGAAAATCAACATATGGGGAGACAGAAAGTTTGAAGCACCTTCCTTCTGCACAGAAAGAGTTTTCAGTGCATGCCACAAAGTTGTTGCTTGCTGTAATGGAGAAGGAGAAAAAGAACAGTTAATTATTTAATATAATTGAAACTGTATTTTATAAACGTTTCAGAGAACAAACTCATTTTTCTGGATGTAGTAAATAAAATATCATGGCACACTTGTAAATTCTTCATGTGCGTTCTGCAAAAAGTTTCTTTGGCGCATCCAAAAAGAAAAAATAAAAAAAAAATCATTAAATGCCCACAAAAGCTTCTGAAATAAATTTAAARCAGCTGCTCTAAGTGGATGTGGCTCCACTGATCATGGAATTCCATCCAGTTGGGCAATAGGAATGCCTGTCTAACCTCATTGTCRTGCAACAGGAGCTAAAATCAAACACATTTTCCCGATTTTCTGTCTGCAATATGGGTGTCTGGCAATGCAAAAGAAAAGAAAAAGGATTTTCAAAAAAGTTCTGAAAGAAATAAAGCTCATAAACCGTGATCAGGTTCTGTTTGTTGAAAAAGGATTTAATTAAAAGCTGCTTTATTTACCCACATCTCAGAGGGATCCATGAACTCCCCGTGGGAAGAGTTTGCAACACTCAGTGGTTAACCCAGGCTGGACAATTTGGCCTGAATTTGGRTAAGAAAATATTCCAGACTCTACCTCCAGGTCTGAGGAATGTGATGACAGCTGTCCCAGACTCTTTGTCGTAGTTCACAGCTTCTATTTCTCCTCCTCCTCCCTGCACAGTTTTGTAGAAATGCAGCTCAAGTTTGTCCCTCATCCAATCTTCAGGAATGGGAAGCTCAGGTATTTCTGAAACGTTGATCTTCTTTCCAGACACAGTGACATGAAGCTAAAAATATCAAATTTTTGTGCACTTTGTGATTAAAAACACACAAAAAACCCCCAAACTTAAAACTTTTAAAGAATTCAGATTTTTATAGCTGCACATTTCAGTTGTTTACCTCAAACTGGAACCCAATTTCAAGTTCAAAAGGCCTCACTGTCACATTTGCTGTTCTGTTGTCCAGGTTCACAGAGTGCTTGTTCATCCTTGTCAGTCTCTGGGCAACTGAGGGAAATCAGATATGAAAAGCTTTGTTTACTCATTGAAAACCCAAAACTATTCCCCACCTCTGCAGCAAAATCTCCTTTTGCATCAGTAAAGGAGAAATAAATAATAATTAAGCAACCAGATGCCAACCATCCATGGCTATTTCCATAAAATCTCAGTGGTTATATGTAGGCAAAATAATATATCTATAATATATATTATAATAATGTAATACAATATGTAACAGATAAAAATTATAACAACTTTTATAATAATGAACAGTCATATTAATAAAATAATACACAATAAATATAACAAATAGGAATAATATATGTTATAKAAAAATAGATTTTGAGTGAGAATAGTAAAACTTTTATGCTGTCAAAAGATGCTCTTATTTATAAAATATTAACACAAGACTTTTCCCATTCCTCTCAAAATATTCTTGGGAGAAAACCATGCCACTACCATGTGAAATACACCAGAGACATGAATCTTACAATTAAAATATACATCATACCTTTTTCATCTTCAAAAGTCAGCAGGGCSTGGTTCTGATTCAATTTGAAGGGGATTTTTGTAGTTGCCCCAAAAAMGCAGTGAGTGTCCATATCTGCCCAATGCTCCTTCATGTCTGCCAGGTGAGTGAACTTCAATTGCATTTCTGCCACRTTCTTTTTAATCTGAGATTTTAGARTTGACAGATGAAAAAGAATATGAWTATWTTTKATTCCAGTGTCTTCCATTTAATCAATTTCTGCTATTCTCCATTCTTGTCATGCTTTCAGTATCCCATATACTTGTATTTATTTCCATCTCCTCAGCTTGCTTCAAATTGTCTTGTCAAGGAAAATAAGAAAATGAAACTTCCAGTTTTATTTTAGATTTAAAGGAATGGAGGTTCAAATGCTGAACAAGTGGSCCCCACAGTGTAGGAGGAACAAATTCAGGTYTTCCAGAGAAGCTGTGGCTGCTTCTGGATCCCTGGAAGTGTCCAAGGCCAGGCTGGACAGCTGGGACAGAGGAAGRTGTCCCTGAGGTTGGAATGAAATGGGATTTAAGGTCAYTTCTAACCCAAAACATTCTATGAAAATAAAAATTTGCCCTTCTAAAAGACAGACTGCCAAAYATTTCACTTCCTTTACCGAATTATCCAGGGCACTGTATTCTTCCAGTTCTTCTTTGAGCTTTTCAATCTCTTTCTTCAGCTCAGTGTTTCCTTGGTTGAGCAGGAAGAGTTCCTGCTACAGGCCAAAAACATTAAATACAAAATTAAAGATTTAGATTACAGCTGAAATCGATTTCACCAAAATCTGGGCAGTTTCTGCCATGTTGCTGCTCTTGCCTCTTCATGCTCTTCTCCTTCCTCCTGGCTGCTCCACGCTTGCTCCACAMCATGAATCCTACTTGGACACAAGGCCCCTGTAACTAAATCCCGAATTTCCTGCACAGGGAGCATGGACAATGAGAAGGAAACAGAGCAGATGGTGTCAGCTCCAGGCAGCCACAATTAAAAGGTGGCTCCTGTAAAGTCATCAACCACTGGAGACATTCAGAGCAGTTCCCATCAGCTGAAAACCAGAGCCTGATGATGATAGTGGCCTTTCCTGGGTATAAAATCCAAATTCTAYGATTACAAAACCAAAATCAGCTTTYGGTAAACCTCTCACCGACCTGTGTSTATCTAAGSTATTAATTATATTTTAAYAGTTTGAAGATTGTTYATGATGAGTGATTTACAGGCACCTCCCTGTCAGCCTGTGGAACCTTGTCCTGTTCCTGCACATGGAATATTGAGGGAATGAAAAAACCCTCTTCAAACAGCTCCTGGCTCTTGCCCAGCTCACTGGAACCTAAATGCTGCACCCTTGGGTGCTGTGACCTCTCACAGAACAGRGAGTTGCCAAAGCAGTGGAATCAACCCACTGAGTTTTATCCACATGCCACAGAAGTGAAACTCATCTGTTGGGGAACAATCTTGGAAGATTGGTTTCATCAGGTTTCACCCCAAAATAGATTTGGTTTGTTTCACTGGTTCTTTGCCTGCCAGTGAAAAAAAGTGTGTAGAGCATTCTGCCAGTACAGTCTGCACACTGGTAAAGCCATTGAAACTGGAAATATTCCTCCCATTTTCCTAACCCACACCTCGTTCCAAACCCCCCAAACCCTGCCAGCTTTCTCCAAACCTCAAAGATGGCAATTCTGTCCTTATTCTGTTTCTTTTGCTCCTTCAGCTTCATCTCTGTTCTAGCACACTCTTCCTCAGCACTGGTTTTGGAGAGAAGAAGGTCAGCTTTTCTGTTTTCAGCCTCTTCAACTCTTTCCTGGATAGCAAAAAGAAAAATATTTAAATTTTTTTTTTGTTTATTTCTACAGGAACAAACAAAACCTTGGGTAAGCCCTTGATATTGACTTGTTTTTAACACTTTGGGTAAATATTGAACTTACAAGAGTGGTTCCCACTGAGAGCAAAACAAGCAGAAATCAGAAGRACAGAGAGCAAGTTAAACATGTTTTAACTGTGGGGGAGTTGATTTGGTTTTAGAAGGATGGGCTCATCTTGATCTTAAAGCAAATTTCCACGATTCCATGTGTTTTACAGAACTTGCCTTCCACATCTTCAGCTCCTCCTTAAGTCTTTTAATCTCCTCCTCTGATGTCCTGAATGGATCAGGGGGTACCATAGTCTGCAGAGAGAAGAGGCACACACTGSTTTTCTCCTCTGCTGGGCAGCAAATGAGACACCCCAAACAATTTAAAAAAAACTTTAAAAAAACCTAAAAAACTTATAAAAAAATTATTCCATTAGACCAAATAATTGGGCTATTTTAATTGCTGGACAGGACAAAAATCTAGGAAAATGTGGAYTACTGCCCAGCCATTATTATTTGCTAATTATCCAACTGTTAAAATCCACAGGCTAATATTTAGATAAATTAWAAATCAAGTTGTGTGCATGTTCTTCCACACAGAACTAAGCCCCTCAAACYCACAAATGTTTAGCTCTGTGCTTTCTCAGCAGTTCCCCCAGGAGAATGTGTCAATAAAGAAAAAGAGGGTGAAAATGGGATTTTGAGCTTCCAGGCTCTGGAGATTGGATAATAAAAGGTAATATTGAGGAAGGTGATAAAAGAACCATTTCAGAATTGAAATTCAAGMCAGAAGTTCACAAGGGCAGGGAAACTGCAACTGGATAAAGGCCAAGCAGAGAGAAAATTTCTGCTCTGTTTTGTTTCTGTGACKGCAGTATTTTGCAGTAAATGAAATTAAAAAAAAAATCCAAAAGAGATCTGCTGAAACATTCCCTCCCTTTTACTCAAGATTACATAAAACTGGAATGGGAACCATTAAATTTAGGCAGGGAAAAGGTCTAAATTAGATAATCTCTGGAAAAGGTCAGAATTAGATAATCTTGTCAATTCTCCTGGTAATGCTGCGTATTTCCTAAAAACAATAAAATACCAAATATTTTTTGCACTACTTTATCCAGCTTCAAATTAAGCAATAGGGAAATACCCATCTGTGTCTTAGTTAAAATGGGAAAAATATTCCTTCACTCCAGGGATTGAGAGCAGGAAAGAAGGATGCATGTGCTGACAGCTGGAAGCTGCTAAGAAAAACATTTGTTTTTTTACTGAAAAAATGGTCTCACACAACAGTTTCCAACCTGAAAGWGGAAAAAAAAATAACCAGGAAAAAGCAGGGAAAATCCCATCCAAACCACTTGTGCACTGCTGGAACTTAATCCCAGGAAAAGGGAAATTCCCCTGAAAAACCTCCAAAAAGACAGATGAGCAAGAGAGAGGCAGAAAGTTGGAACAGGATCTGTAATGCAGAGACTTTGGAATGGGATTTCCTCTCTGGAAAAAGGAGGTGGGAACAGGAATGTCCCAGGTCTTTAACAGTGGCAGAATGTGAGACAAACAGAAGCAGTGATAGCACAAACCTTCAGTCAGATACAACTGTCAAATACWGATTTTATTCCCAGGCAGCACATCAGGAAATACTTACAAAACCATTGTCATGTAGAGATAATGGGGGGCTYGTAAAATCCATCGCAACCTGAGGGAACAAGAAAAAATCACAAAATTATGTGTATTGTTTGAGGATTTTTTAATGCAACACAATATCAGGAACACCAGAATCTGCTCAGAATTTTTCAACATAAATGTATCATTTGATAGGCAAAAGTGATAGATATTGGATATCTGAAGCCTCCTTCCTTCCTAGGAAATAAAAGCCAGAGAGAAATGTGAGAAA